AAAAAAAAAAAAAAAAAAAAAAACAATTAAAATATTCATAATTCTATTATAATTAGTATTCCTTTTGACTAATGCTTAGAACAATATTTGCATCAGACAAAATTGGTGATAATTTAAAAACACTATTTAAAAATCTTTTTAATTGTTATAAAATAGGTCTATTTTCAATATATAGCAAAATCAGAAGTATATATAACAAAAAGATATTAAGCTAGTAATATTGTTATAGAACATGCTAGCAAATATAAAAAACAAGAATCAGAGTGTTTTACAAAAAAAACCAAAACATACTAAAACAAATAAAATTACTTTGTCTAAATACTAGTACAACTACTTCATCAGATACAATTATTTTATCATCAACTCAACTAAATAAAGAACAATTTTATTTACAATAAAAATTAATAAACATCTTAGTTATAAAGTTAATATAATATTATATTTATAGCCTCTGCAAAAAATGTAGAATAGTTTTTTGAATAAATACTTTTATAAAATATATGTAATGGTTGAATTCACGATTAAAAACACTATTGCTTTGAATATTTTTGATATAAGAAGTATTTTGAAATATTAAATTTGTAACAAAAGATCATCAAAGTTAATAAGATTAATGAAATACATTTCATATGATATTTCCTCTAACCGCTATAAAATCTGATATATTTTAGTCTAGTAACTTATAAATTTAAAAGCCTGAAGTCTGGTATAAATATTATAGAACTAGTCAGTTAACCAGTTTATTAACCAATCATAACTAATCATACCAAATTAACTGATTAAACATTTTACTCAATTGGTTAACGTTAACAGAATTCTTCTTAGTTTTCTCGGTTATATGATTATAGCTCAAAAAGTTCAAATCACTAATTATGTTCTCGTCATACTGTCGCCTAAAATATCTCTTAATAAAGTTCGCAATGAAAATTTGGTATAAAAAGATACATCTGAAATGTACGAAATAATTGATATATACTAAACTACCAAATTGCTAATCAGATTTTTGCATTCATCATTATTCAGTGTCTCCGCTTGTTTAAGAACACCATATACCAAGCTTATATTTTTAATTGAATCGGAGGACATCCAAACACGACCATTCATTCCAACAGTGATTTCAAAAGAAAGTTTTTGACCAAGGTGTGCTCTTTGATGCAGAACACAATAATTCATCGTCAAAACTTAATGCTAAAGTTCTGATATCATTATGATGGCCACGAAGGTCAACGAAATACAATTTTGATGAAATGGTATTTTCTAATAATTTATCTTTTTTCTTGACAGGAAGGCCTATCGTGTAAAGTTCG